CCTGCTATACAGGTTGAATGATTATCCCTTATCCAGAATCTTCAAATCCCAAATTGTCCACATAAAGTGTCTGTGAGAGTGACGCCTTTGCTTCCTCACAGTTCAATGTACACAAGCTTTGCTTCTGCCCCCAAATTGTTACAAATATTTTGTATAAAATGACCTTAAGCTATGTGTATAAGGTGTACAGGAAACATAGATTTCCTGTTTAAGTTTGGGTTCCATCTCAAAGCTCATATATATGTGAAAGTATATGTGTGTATGTGTGTGTTTGTGTATCAAGGAAAAGCTTCATGAGAGCCACCACTCCTCTAAATGTTCTTCCAGCAACAGCAAGAGTAACCCTCTGGGCAGCTACATCAGGAAATCCCAAATGTGAGGCTCCCCACGAGGATCTGCTTCCAGGGGCAAAACAAGAATGGGCAACTTGGAAGTTACTGAACAGACTCAGAAGTGCTGTTGGGAGATCAAAAGACAACCTGGTTCAACGGCACTATCAAGACTTCGCCACCTTGTGTGACTGTGGAGCAGAACAAACAACTTCTTCGCATCTGTATGCTTGCCCACACTGCTTGGCCTCATGCACAGAGGAAGAACTGTTTAAAGCTACAGACAATGTGGTCGCCGTTGCCTGTTTTTGGTCTAAAATTATTTAGCCGTGTGTGTTCCCTCTATTATATCAGTTTTTTACTTGTTTATTTATGCAATGTTTTTGACACTATATATACACACACACACACACACACACACACACACACACATGGGTGGGCCAAAAAGTAATGCCTCCATCGCTCTAACTTTTCTTTCTTTCACAGCTACTGGAATATCTATGAATAAGGGGATAGAGGTAACCTTATTCTACTGATACAGTCCTTTCCTTTTCTGATTGATTGATTAAAACCACGAATCTGAAGCTAAAAGAAAGAGTCGTTATTGAATTTCTGGCAAAAGAAGGTTGTGCACCTAAGGAAATCCATAATTGCTTGAAGAATGGCCACATAGCCCAAAAAAACCTACAACAACCCAGTGATTCCGGCCATGAAAGCCTTCGACAATGCTTGAAGAATGTTTATAATTTTGGCCTCTTCTGACTTTTGCCTGTTTGGACCTCTGAAAGACTACTATGTGGTTTCAGATTCAATGACTCGAATGATGTTAAAACAGCTTTAAAATCATGGGTCACGAAGCAAAACCTTGAATTTTTCCAAAACAGTTTTGATGCCTAGGTTAAACAATTGCGCAAATGTATACAAATTGATGGTGACAATGTTGAACGGTAGGTTTGCATAGAGAACAGTTCAGGCTATGATCTGTAGCAACTTTTGCTGTTATATGTTCATTCATAATGTTTTTATGACACAGGAGGCAAGGCTTTTTGAGCTACTTATGTACGTGTGTATACACACACACATATAAGCTATAAATATTTTTTTAAAATCTGAGCTATGGAATGTTGTTGCTCCAAAGCATTTAGGCCCATATCCACCCATGCCTTACCCTCCAAAACTGCAAATGCATGGATTAACATGCTCCAAAGTCTTCCCATAAAATAAGTTTCCTATTATCCTAAGATGTTATTTTGACCCATTAGAATCAAAGGAAAGCAGAGGAAGACAGTCAACTGTGGACATATAACTTCAATGATGTGGGCCCACCCACACAGCCATATAACCTAGAATATCAAGACAGAATAACCCAAATATCTGCTTTGAACTGGGTTATCTGAGTCCACACGGCCATATATCCCAGTTCAAAGCAGATAATGTGGGACTTTATTCAGTTGTGTGGAAGGGGCCCCAGTCATCACTGGATGACTTAGGGTCCTTCCACACAGCCATATAACCCAGAATATATTATTATTACTATATATTATTATTGTATATACATATAATATTATAATGTAATACAATGTAATACTAATGATATAGTATAATAACATATTTTATATCACATGTAGTATTTTAACATGTAAAATTTTAATTATTACATTTGGCCCTGCCATTGTTTTTAATTGTGTCACTGTGTGTTGTTAATGTTATTGCTTTGTGAGTTATTTTGCTGTCTGTTGTTGCTGTTGTTTTTACTATTGTATTTGGGCTTGGCCTCTTGTAAGCCGCACCGAGTCCTTCGGGAGATGGTAGCGGGGTACAAATAAAGGTATATTATTATTATTATTATTATTATTATTATTATTATTATATTACTAATAATATTACAGCATAATGGTATAGTACAATATAGTAATATTTAATACTGATATTGCACTATGCTAATAACATAATATATTGTATGTGTATATATCTTGTAAGCTGCTCTGAGTCCCCTTCGGGGTGAGAAGGGCAGCATATAAATGACGTAAATAAAGAAATAATATCAAGGCAGAAAATCCCACAATATCTGCTTTGAACTGGGTTATCTGAGTTCACACTGACATATATTCCAGTTCAAAGCAGATAAATGTGGGACTTTATTCAGTTGTGTGGAAGGGGCCCCAGATGCTTTCTGGCATTCTCTCAAGGACTATTTAGGTCTTACAACATGACACTATGGCCAAGTTCCTGCAAAGGTTGACCATACGGTCTCACTGGATGACTTAGGCCCCTTCCACACAGCCATATAACCCAGAATATATTATTATTGTATATACATATAATATTATAATGTAATACAATGTAACACTAATAATAGAGTATAATAATATATTTTATATCACATGTAATATTTTAACATGTAAAATTTTAATGATTACATTTGGCTCTGCCATTGTTTTTAATTGTGTCATTGTGTGTTGTCAATGTTATTGCTTTGTTTTCTGAGTTATTTTGCTGTCTGTTGTTGCTGTTGTTTTTACTATTGTATTTGAGCTTGGCCTCTTGTAAGCCGCACCGAGAGCTTCGGGAGATGGTAGCAGGGTACAAATAAAGGTTTATTATTATTATTATTATTATTATTATTATATTACTAATAATATTACAGCATAATGGTATAGTACAATATAGTAATATTTAATACTGATATTGCACTATGCTAATAACATAATATATTGTATGTGTATATATCTTGTAAGCTGCTCTGAGTCCCCTTCGGGGTGAGAAGGGCAGCATATAAATGACGTAAATAAAGAAATAATATCAAGGCAGAAAATCCCACAATATCTGCTTTGAACTGGGTTATCTGAGTTCACACTGACATATATTCCAGTTCAAAGCAGATAAATGTGGGACTTTATTCAGTTGTGTGGAAGGGGCCCCAGATGCTTTCTAGCATTCTCTCAAGGAATATTTAGGTCTTACAACATGACACTATGGCCAAGTTCCTGCAAAGGTTGACCATAAAGTCTCACTGGATGACTTAGGGCCCTTCCACACAGCCATATAACCCAGAATATGTTATTACTACTATATATTATTCTTGTATATACATATAATATTATAATGTAATACAATGTAATACTAATAATATAGTATAATATATTTTATATCACATGTAATATTACTAATAATATTACAGCATAATGGTATAGTACAATATAGTAATATTTAATACTGATATTGCACTATGCTAATATTACAATATATTGTATGTGTATATATCTTGTAAGCTGCTCTGAGTCCCCTTCAGGGTGAGTAATATAGTAATATTTAATATTGATATTGCACTATACTAATAATATAATATATTGTATGTATATATATCTTGTAAGCTGCTCTGAGTCCCCTTCGGGGTGAGAAGGGCGGCATATAAATGCCGTAAATAAATAAATAATATCAAGGCAGAAAATCCCACAATATCTGCTTTGAACTGGGTTATCTGAGTACACATGGCCATATATCCCAGTTCAAAGAAGATAATGTGGGACTTTATTCAGTTGTGTGGGAGGGGGCCCAGATGCTTTCTGGCATTTTCTCAAGGAATATTTAGGTCTTACAACATGACACTATGGCCAAGTCCCTGCGAAGGTTGACCATAAAGTCTCACTGGATGACTTGGGGCCCTTCCACACAGCCATATAACCCGGAATATCAAGGCAGAAAATCCCACACAATCTGCTTTGAACTAGGTTATCTGAGTTCACACTGCCATATATCCCAGTTCAAAGCAGATAATGTGGGACTTTATTCAGTTGTGTGGAAGGGGCCCCAGATGCTTTCTGACATTCTCTCAAGGACTATTTAGGTCTTTAGGACTATTGGTGGCCTGCATGTGCAGTCCACCAATGACACTATGGCCACGTTCCTGCGAAGGTTGACCATAAAGTCTCACTGGATGACTTGGGGCCCTTCCACACAGCCATATAACCCGGAATATCAAGGCAGAAAATCCCACAAAATCTGCTTTGAACTGGGTTATTGGAGTCCACACTGCCAATATAACCTAGGGCTTTTATTCCGCTGTGTGGAAGGGGCCTTAGATATTTTGAAATAGTTTATATATTTATTTATAAATATGGATATAAATATATTTATAAATAAATATTAATATGGATAAGATAGATTTACAGCACACTACAACAGTGCAACCAACCACTGAATTCAATGGGAACCCATTACACCTGTCCTTCACCGCTTGGAATCAATGGGACATTGGATCTAAATCTACACTGTAGAATGAACACGGTCTGACACCGCTTCAACTGCTATGGAATCCTGGGAGATGTGGCTTTCAAACGGGTGTCCCCGCCAAACTACAACTCCCAGGACGCCTGGGCGCGTGCATGGCCGTTGGAACGGCGTGAAACCGCATCTGTTCTACACTGTGGAGGCACTGGGGCCAAACAAACGCAACACAAGGGAGTAGCAACTCTCCCCGAAGCCAATGGGATACATTGCAAGCCGGCCCGGCTTTTCCGGCAGGTGCGGCAAGTACCTGGAGCGAGGCGCGCGCCCTGACCTCACTCGCCTTCAGGCGCGCGGCGACCCACCGCAGGGTCTTCTGCGACGCCTGCCCGTTGGCCCCCACGATGTGATGCGATGCCACGCAATGCAATGGAGTGAACTCACCTCGCCCTCAGCGGCTCTACGCAGCCGGCGGCCCCGCCCTCCTCTCGCTAAGCCCCGCCCCCCGCTCACGCGCTTGACAATCCTTCCCTCTTCTCCTCTACGGACGCACTCGGGCTCCCTAACAACACGGAAGAGCGCCGAGTGTGGAGACTGAGGTGTGTGGGGCCGCGCATGCTCAATAGCCAGGGCCGCGCGCCGCAACCGCCGCTCCCTCGGGCCCGCCCCCCTCCCCGTAGCACGTGCAAGCCACCAATAGGATCACTGGAGAGTGCTCTGGTTCCAAAGAGGATTCCAGGCCATCAGTGGAGAAGGAGCCAGAATATTCCTTTTCCTCTACCTCCTTCCAGCAGAAAGCCCTGCTCTTCTTGGGAAGTTGAGGCTACCCTTGTCCCATTAAAGGAGCCTGCAGGGGGTTAGGCCTCTGCAAGGCCTGAGTAGGAATCCCTGCTCAGCCCAGCTGGGCAAGTCACACTCTCTCAGCCCCTTCCATACAGCTGCATCAAATCCACATTGAACTGGATTATATGGAAGTGTGGGCCCTTTCACGCTGCCCCTTTATCCCAGATTGACCTGGGACCAAGTGCGGGTAGCACTACTCCTGATTCTGGAATGCTACTTCGCCAACAATGATGATGATGATAATAATGACTCTGGAATAAGCAATGCAGTTTATTGAATATTAATGTAGCAATAGCCAAAAAGGTAAAAAGCATTCAAACAAGTAATAATGAAATGTCCACAAAATAGTCAGTTGAGAAATGTAATATAATAATTCAGTCAATCTCTAAGTGAGGAAACAGGAAGGTCCCAAAATCCAGTAAACAAATACATAGGAGTAAAGTTTTTCAGTTCCGAAAGTTTGCAAAAGACCAAAGTCCCTTGAAGAAACAAAAACACACTTGAACCAATAAATCCAAATACAGGAGCTTGAAACCAAGACAAACAGCTTACAAAAATCCCAGCATGGACATAAATTCAAGGCAGAAGTATACAGGAATCTCAGCATGAATAGGAAGGCATGGATATTAGGCATGAAGCAAAAGACATGGTTGTACATGAAAAACAAATACTGGACTCACTTAAGACTATAGATTCACAGGTCTTATATTTATTCAGAAAGCCATAGCAAAAGCATTCCATTTTCCTTGGGAAACCTCTCTCTGACCCATCTTTTCTCTCAATCTTGCAGAGTGCCTCCTCCCTAATTCAATTCAATTCAATTTATTTATTTATTTATTTTGCTTATATACCGCTGTTCTCGGCCCGAAGGCGACTCACAGCGGTGTACAACATAGAAAAAACAGGGTTCAAAAATCAAGGCACAATCTAAAACAATCTACAGTCCAGCATTAACAACAACATTATCATCAACAACATCATCAATTACTACAAAAGCCATTTCACATCGTCTCATCGTCCAAACCACAATCCAGTATCATTTTCCATTATTCCATTCCTATCGTCCTTACCAATCATTGCACTTCTTGTTCGAATGCCTTCTTAAACAGCCAAGTTTTTAATTTTCTGCGGAAGACCATCAGGGAAGGTGCCAGTCTGATGTCCACGGGAAGGGTGTTCAAGGTGAATATCAAGCAAAAAGTGGGCGCTAGAAACAATACCATATGAAAGCTGACTGACACAACCTGGGGATCACAACCAGATACAGTGAAGACATCTCCCACTTTGCTACTCTGCTGATGAGTACGCGTGCCCAGTGTGGAACACATCTCACCACTCAAAAACAATGGATGTGGATTTTAATGAGACTGACATCGAACGTGGAAACCCCTGCCTTCAAATTGATCTGACCGTAGCAGGGAGTTCCACAATTCCTGGGAGTATGAATTTTCCAAGTATCAACAGGACAGTGGCACCAGCAACTGCTACATCAAGGAACTTCTTTTTTCCTTCCTTTCAGATTCCCCTAGCCATTCCCTAATAAAAAAGTATCCCTTTTCCTTACTTTCAGCTGTCTGCATGATACATTGTATCCTTTACTGACTAACTATGCTCAAACCCATGAAGCCCTGCTGACTCGGCCGCGACGCTAGAATGGCGTTCCAGGCGGCACGGAACTGCGATCCTTTAAACCGCAGATAACAGGACCCACCCAGTTTCGGTATCCGTGACTTAACCGATCTGCTCTGAACCAACGCTATCTTCTTCCTTGATTAATTATAAGACTAACTGCTATCTTGCTTTCTGCTGAACTGACGCCTATGTTCCTCAGATCCACTTTTTCCCATCCAAAATGCCCATGTGGAAATCAAAGACCTTTTTTGTGATCCCATGGTTCCGCATGACATGTCTGTGTCTCCTTTTTTTCTTGTGTGTGTCACCCCTAAAACCCAGGCCAGCATCAGGCCACTCTAATCATTTTTATTAATTGGGTTCCCTTTTTTATGAAAGAACCTCCTTTTTTATTAATGGACTTTGTCTGCTCAGCGCCTTTATGATGCCTTCCTATATGGACTCCAGATGACAAGGATCAATTTTCCCCCAATGTTCCCCTTTTCTCTCATAGAATCATAGAACCATAGAATCAAAGAGTTGGAAGAGACCTCATAGGCCATCCAGTCCAACCCCCTGCCAAGAAGCAGGAATATTGCATTCAAATCACCCCTGACAGATGGCCATCCAGCCTCTGTTTAAAAGCTTCCAAAGAAGGAGCCTCCACCACACTCCGGGGCAGAGAGTTCCACTGCTGAACGGCTCTCACAGTCAGGAAGTTCTTCCTCATGTTCAGATGGAATCTCCTTTCTTGTAGTTTGAAGCCATTGTTTCATGTCCTAGTCTCCAGGGAAGCAGAAAACAAGCTTGCTCCCTCCTCCCTGTGGCTTCCTCTCACATATTTATATGTATATGTCCCATACCCCCAATTTATATGTATGTCTGTATAAAATATTGTGAACAATGACCAGCACCTCGGGACCCAGGTATTGCAAAACTTCCTGGGTCTTCACTCTTAATCAATGGACTTTTCAGGAATGTATAACCCGAAGCCCAAGGAAAGGGGGCCATTTGTCTATTGTCCATGCTTGAGAGTATAACCCGAGAACAAACCAATGTTTAAAATCCCATATTTTCTGAGTGAGATTCTAATATCTGCATTTTCCGCCCAGAACTGAGATATTCCTGCAACTGAAAATCTCATGTTTTTAGCACTTTGTAGCGATTCCTTCCATGTTTTTCAGGAGATATCGTTTGGCCCCCCACCATTTTGAACTGGGAGCTCCTAAGATAAAGGTACTGTATGGATGGGCCCTGAGATAAAGGGCAGTGTGGAGAGACCCTCAAATAACAGATATTGTGGATTATCCGCCTTAATATTCTGAGTAATATGGCTGTGTCAAACTATTATTCTGTTGCATTGGGCCATGGCAGTTGAAGTGGTGTTAAACTGCATTAATTCTACATTGATTCCTATTTACTTCTGTGTCTCTTCAATGCAGAAAAAATGACGCAGCACCACTCTCATGCAATACTCCTGTTTAATGAAACATACTAGTTTTCCATACAGGCCACTAGAAACAGCTCTAATTGTAGCACAGAAGGAATAAAGTTATCCTTCATCAAATTACAATCGTAATGCCACTTATACATTCATCATTGAGTTCAAATTAGAAAGTTACCTGTAACTTAATTACTTCCATGCTCATGAAAAATGGTACTGTTCCCTCCACCACAAACTTTCAGATTTAGACTGAGGCAAACATTTATTTGCTTTTACTGGGCCAGAAAGCTCCACCAAGACAAACAAATACATAATATGACATGAATTACTTTATGCAACATTCCTTCCAATATGTAACAGATGAAACCTGGGACACACATGGCCAAGGTAACATCAGAGCGTGATGACACTGACAAAAGGATTAATGAAGAAGCACACACAACTTAGCTAGGAGAGGCTGCAGCAGGTGGCTTTTGCCTGGGTCTACTAGGAAGGGCAAGAGAATATTTCTCTCCCTTTTCACCTCCATTTAACTCCAGCTGAGTTAACTGGGGCCCCTTCCACACAGATGAATAAAAATCCCACATTTTCCGCTTTTAACATATGGCAGTGTGGACTCCGAAAACCCAGTTCAAAGCAGATATTGTGGGATTTTCTGCCTTGATATTCTGGGTTATATGGCTGTGTAGAAGGGCCTTGAGTGCAGTTCTACCTTACTACTACTTACTTTTACATCAGTGGAACTAAATCAAGCACAAAGGGGGAAAGGAGAAGGAGAGAGACATTGGGATATTTTAAAAGCAGCTAAAAAGTGGAATGCCAATGATTCATAGGGACTGTCACTGCCAGATTGGAACAGGTTTGGTGCTATAGGACAGGACCAACCTAAGATATTTTGCTGCCAGAGGCAAGCATCTCCACAATCCAACTACAGAGGACAAATGGACTGGCGGCTGAGTTTTACTTTGACTCTGATAAATGTTGGTTTGGAACCATCAGCCAGCATTCAGCATACCACACCTGAAGATGGCCAAGCAGCAAGAAGGCTTTAAGACAGGCACGCTTTAACTGTGGCCCTCCAGCTGTTTGGGCCTCCAACTCCCAGAACTCTTGACCATTGGACAAGCTGGATAGGACTTCTGGGAGTTGGAGGCCCAAACAGCTGTGAGGTTGCAGTTTTTGGATGCCTGCTTTAAAAGCATACATCTCTACTGTCAAGACACTATCGCTGCACTACTAGCCATTTCATACCACCCAAAATCCCCAACCTAAGCTACCTTCCTCATTCTGCTTCATGGTAGAGTCCACCCTGATATTACAAAATGTGTATAATAAGGTCTTTATTCAGGGCTGGCCCAGCTGAGTTGACATTTATCAGGTTGAATGAGGGATTGAGATTTGGCAATGGCAAACATGCCACACCTTTCCTCACCCGGGTACTGCCCTTGCTGCTCTGCATTACTATGGCCTCCCGAGCCGGAAGCCACCTTGTTCAGAGCCCACAAATCCCCTGAAGAAGATGGTAGAAGTGAAGGCAGCCTTGGCTTTCAAATCTCTGCTGCCAGGGTTTGGCTATAGAAACAAAACTGCAGCCTGGCTCCACAGGAAGGGCAAGGATGACTAAGCCAATTGTTTGTATTGCAGCCAGGGTGGCTTTCCATGCCGCCCTGTCCCTGCCACTGAGTTGTCCTATCTCCCTAGCTTCTCTACCTTC